ATACAAGGAAACAAAGAAAATGTCAAAAAAGGGACAAACGAATTTTAGCAGTGTGCAACATAACCCTTTAGAAGAGAAGTACCATTGGAAAAGCAACATCTAGCATTCAACACTTGGAACAAGAGCCTTTTTCATTGCAAGAATTAACAAAATCATTCAAGCTTTAAAATCACAGCTAACAAAAGGATAAAAAGAGGGTGCATTATTTAACACAATATGGAGTTAACAATCTGAGTAAGATGTGCACGAAGTCATATCCTCAATCCAATCAGTGCCTCCCAGGCTTGCTTAAAACGTACACTCAATTACAGGCGTACCAATATAGAAAAAAATGTAGCATCAAGAAAACTTAATACAACAAGTCAAAAAAATTCACGTGGTATATCAGCGCTAAATACGTGAAACGGCAGATGGACTTCTCCACTTACCATTCAGCACCATCGCCAGCATGGGTATGTATACAGTTACCATGGTTACTGAGAGTTTGGTGAGGGCCCTAAGCGCTACCGTCGAAGGGGGAAAATGAAAAGGCAAAATATGCAACATCTTACTCAAAAGACGACAGCATTTTCAATTGGTATTTTTTTTTATTCTAACAAATACGACTGAGGCAGTATTGAAGGGGATCCAGTGGTACTAAAACACATTTGTGTTGTTTTTTTAATGGATATGAATGGCTCAGGCCATCCAGCCAAAGTAGCCTGATGGTTTCATTAAAAATTAAATGTTAAAATTGGTCGGTCTCTAGTCTGGCTTTGTTTCTGTTTTTTGTACACCTTTTGGATGCCTCTTTCCCAATCTGAATGTTTTGAAAGCCACTGTGGATCCCGCATCAACCCTGCAGCAAAAAAAAAAACAAAACAAAACAAAAAAAAAACCAACCTTTTGTTTGTTTTTGTTTTGTCTGTCACACTTTTTTTTTTTGTTGTTCTCAATTTTTTTTCTTTTTTTTGTTGGCTGGTTTTTGGAATCTACTGCACCCATTGATTTACAAAACATCCAAAATAATAACTTCAAAATATTAAAGCTTTCATTTTTTTTTCAATTCTGTCATCCTTCTTTCAGCAATAATGATAATAATAATAATAATTACAAAAGAAATAATAATAAAAAACCCAAGTAAGGCCAGATTCTCTCTCTTTATATATAAATATATATATAAACAATGGGAAGGGGAAAGGGGAGCACACAGAAGACACCAATGATGCATCTGAAACAACAAATGAGAGTGAAGCAGACATTTATAAAAAAGATGAAAAGGAAAATATTTTGAACATGCACCTCGATTTTACGGCCCTCTACCACGGTGCCGTGTAATTTCTCCCTCGCCCTGTCCGCATCAGCACTATTTTCGAAAGTTACGAAACCAAATCCCTGCATGCAGGAGGGAGAAGGGGGGAAAACAACATGCACATTATTATTTCAGTCAATGACCACTTGTTTGCTTATGTTCTCTCTCTTTAATTTAATATTTTCTTGTCCTTGCTTCATTTCTGTAACATGCAAATTAGAAAAATTATAATTGTATTGAGATGTGCAATAAATAAGCGACAAATGTGAACAAATCTTTTCTGTCATCAGTTAGATAATACCCTCTGAGAAATTCAAAGAATGATACCAAAAATACCCTCCTACATGTCACTACACAGGAAAATAAATCTAACAATAAGAAAATGAAATTAAAGTAAATTACAGTGTCTTCACACAGAAAAAAAATGAACTAATGAGAAAAGAAAATGAACCACATTTTAATGACATGCAGATATCTCAACGAAATAAAAAACATGTGCACAGAATTCAACACTGAATGTCAATATACTCTAAAACATTGCCTACTTCATCATGCTGTTGTGATCATAAGAAACATAGTTCCCATGCAACACTAGGGTAACTTAAACTTTTGTCAAACTATACAGCCTTTACTTATTTTTTTATAAAAGAAAGAAAGAAAAGAAAACCACCAACAAAACAAAAGTATTTTCAGAACAAAGTATAAACTTCCTTGTATTAACAGATCAAATAAAATCACATGATGTGAATAGAAAAAGAAACTCTGATAAAGGAATAAAAATGCAAACGTTTTGAATAAGTTTAACTGGTTCATTTACTATTTATGTGTATTACTTTCCACATATAGAACATGCAACTGGTAAAACTCCAGAATCCCGTGTTAGTGGGACAGGAGAATACTCGAAAATATGAAATTCTGCCTATGACAAATACTTTGCTTTATAATATTAGACTAAACAAACATTTCCATTCCTACGAAAATTCTTTTTATTGTGCTAAGTTAAACACTGTTTACAATGGTAAATATTTTTGAAAAAATCAGACATTGAAAAATGTTTTAGAAACATACACCAACCCTTTGAAGTAATTCTTACATTAGCACTACAGTGCCTTTGCATGCTTTCCCAAAGTTCTCCAAACAAATAAGTTTCTATATCCTTGGTGTTTCATAACAAGAAACATTTGCAAGTTACACATGGCCGCTTTATAAAGAATAGGCATTGCTGCACATATTTGAAGTCCTACTACAACATTTTTCTTTACTGTTACGTCAGCTTGAACTATGGAGTTAAAGCTTTCCTCTCTCCTGGTCCTCAGCAATAAGATGTGCATCATGTCTCCTCATTCTCCAGTCCATTCGCTAAGTTTTGTGGTCAGTATCCACCCCCTTAATCTCTGCAGTTCTACCTATTATGTACATAGTGACTGATTGGAAAAAAAAAAAAAAAAAAAAAGAGGAAAAAACCCAAAGGGAGTGAAGATATTTATACATTTATTTATACATTTTTATACAAAGAAGAGACCAAATATGAAACTAAGGCAAAACTGACACCAAGCATTGAGAAAAACAATGGATATGAACTACAAAATTAATTAATCGACAAAAAGAGGTAAGAAAATATCAGGATCATCATGCAAGTTATTTGGGTTATTTTACCTACTAAAAGAACACATGTATTTATGCCAGTTTATAACACAGAAAGTGACATTTATATACAGTAGCAGTTTATGTTCCATTCTCTTCAAAGTAGCTTAAACACATTGTCTATTGCTCTTTTTTTTTCTCTTTTAAAGGCACCCTGAAGCGTGAGCTCAGAGGTGCTCTATGAGCAGTTCCACTCTAGCTGAAGCCATTCTCAGAACACCTGATTCCACACATCTTCTCCACTCTACCCTCCACAATTTAGCACAAAGCCACAACCTCGCTCATCACAAGACACTGAGGATGTAACCCTTTTTCCCCAAAGCACCAGGAGTGCTCGAGAGAAAGTAAATCCCCCTCCTCAGTACTAATCCCTATGTTTTAGATGCCTCCCTAGGCTTTTCTTATACCTAAACCCATCCTCAACTTTAAACTTTTATTTCTTCTTCAACTGCTCCCTCCCATCTTGTAAAAGGTCTGTATAAAAAAGCTCATAATTTAAGATGCCATTAAGAAAATTTCACAGCAGAAAACATCCCCTCAACCGTCGATCGAACGAGACTAGCTCCATGCAACAGTATAAATTCCCCCAATTCTGTTTGTTCTACTGCCCCTTCTCAGAATTGCAAACATTTGGTGGGCGTTGTTTAGTCAAAAGTTTGAATCAGTCTTCTTAGCTCACAGCACTACCAGTTAATTTTTTTCAAACAACTGAAGGGAAAGATAAAAACCTAATTATATTAAAAAATTAGAAAAAGATATAAAGCAGAGCCACAAGTCAAGATAAGACAGGAACTTCAAAGATTCTGAAAAGAATACTTATTGTAATGTTTTAATTTCTTATGTTGTACTTGTTCTCATAATTAACACTATTTAAATTAAGCTCTTATTATTTATGCAAATCGTTATTTTTACCTAGCTGACACAGAAACTCAATCACAGAACACAGATTCATTCATCACACATTCAAATAGCCACACAAACACGTTAACGTTAATTTTATATGCAGCTGATTCAACAGCTACTTTAGCTTAGCATACTATGTATTTTATTAACCGGTAATGTAAATTTCTGCATTTTATTTTTAAAGTCTGTTAAATGATTTCATAATAGCCAAGTTAGTATGTGAGAAGGTTCTGTTTTAATTTGGGAGGTGCTTTGGAGCTCTTCTTATTTGAAGAAATATACGTTAATATAATATATACTAGATATATATTAATACATATACACACAGATTTGTGAAAGTATATATGTAGTACATAGCTGTATAGAGCATTAATTTACAACTGTAAAAAATGGTACTTGTTGATGTTCCTGTATCTTTGCAGCCTTGGGATTGTGCCCAAGACAAAAGCCATTCGCAGCTCCATGGAGAGCTTCAGTGTTAAAGCTGCTGAGTAGCGTTAAAATATGCACAGTAATGGAAGCTATATTTCAAATTGTCCTTCCAAGATGAGTGGTAAACGCAGAGAAAGGTAAGTTACCAGCAGTTTTTAATGTTACTTTAATCAACAGCTTCAAGAATTGGCAAAGGTAAGCCTCACTTATTTAACACAGGTTATAAGAAAGGTCTACTCCGAATACTGAAATTCTTGCAATTCTTATAAAAAGAAGTTTCAAATGTCATCAGTGTTGCCATACAATTCTAGCAAAGTTGTCATAATTATTATTATGCCCCCACACAAACTGAAATTTGTAGTATGAAGCTTGTATTATTTTAGGGTTTCTTTTATGGAGAGACTCCCTTCTGCAATATTGTTTTACAATTTATGGTGGTGCTGCAGCATTATGCTTTTTGAATCTGCAATTCCATTTTTCTTAGCTATTATGGTATGAAAATGAGCTTACTTCTGTTGTTTTTGCAGGAATCTTTTTAAACATTAATTATTGGAATAAAAAGAAAGAAAAACAGAAACAAAAAAAATTTCTAGCAATTCTTTTATGCCAAACTGCAGCTAGAAATAAATTTTAATTTTGATCCTGCAAACTTTTGTACCTGTACTCAGATTGAGACCATTTAGGCCTTTCAGTTTCAGTGGGATTTTATGAAAACATCGATAAGCACTGCCAGGAATGGGACTTTAATCTGGTACATCTTAAATGCTACAGAATGGCCATGAAATGATCAGATTAAAAAAAAAAAATCCACTTATTCCTAATCCTGTTTTTTAACTTTTTATTTATTTGAGAGAATCTGAGGGTACTTCTGCAAATCAAAATACTATGTAGCTGTACCTGAAATAACTCTAAAACAAGATGAGAAGCAGCATACCTAAACAACAAGATGCGTCACAGAACTGCCTTAAGTATCTTCAGCAGCTTACTCAGAGCCAGCTTGGGTGCACCAACACAGCACTGGATAGTGTAGAAGTACTCAATAAGAATAGGTCTTAGACTCTCTAACACAAAGCTTGTAAGTCAGGCAGTGGCATTACAAGCCTACCAAGAAAAACGTCTTCCTTGTGAAATCCTTTCTAGGAGCTTGTTTTTAGCACAAGGCACTGGGATGTTTTCACTACTGCAAGACCACTATTAAAAAAACTCAATTCAGAAATATCTCCTGACCCCACTCCCCAAATATTTTTAAAAAGCCTTATGCAGTCTGATGCAGACGTGGTGGATAAAAGTCCTACATACGTAAGATGTAATGGCTAAACAAATGTGTAAACCACCACCACTATACCATATGTACTTAGTTCCACTCCATCTTCAACAGAATCAATCAAAGGTGGCAAGTGTGGGATGTCTTTTGCAATTTATAATACTACCCAATAGAAGCAGGTTCTGGACAAACAACATCTCTTGCAAACACTATTGAACAGCCATAATTTAATGGTAATAAATTTCAGCCAGAGTAGGAGATTCTAAGCCACTAAATTCCATACATTTTGATTGTTTACTGAAAAAACAGTAAACGTTCCAACTGGGTTTGGACTAGCAGGCGAGGGTACTAATTAATGAATGTCAGAATAATTTTGGACTGTAAACCAGGAAATTTCAGCTATTCTTTTTTTTTTTTTTTAAAAAAAAGGAAAAGAAAAGTGATGGATTTAAACTTAGAATATAAATACAAACACATTAAGGGAAAAATTAACAGAATTAAAATATATCTGATTTAAGAGAGATTTATGATACAACTGATTCTTAAAAAATGACAGATTACAGTATGTCTATAACAGGAAAAGAATTCCATCGCTAATAATAAATCATATATAAGAGTTACAGGAAGACTGAAGCATTGGCGGATAAACATTCGAGTGAGTCTGACATGGGAGGAAAAGGAGAAAGATATCATGCATGTGACATACACATAAACCCTTATACCGCAGCTGATACCATAGGTAACAACACATACTGGGCTACAGTTTTGCAGCAGCTGACAATGCTAATGCAGTCATTGCCACTCTATCTTGCTTTATTTCTTAAATACAGAATAAATTGAAGTATGCATTGAAGGCAAAGTAATTTTCAGAAAAAATTAAATGTTTGCAATACAATAAGAACTCTTTTAATCAAACAAATGTTAAAATAGACTGTTTTCAAAGGGTTGGTGTACTGAAGCTTTAACTAAAGAGGAAAACATCTGCACTTAGATAATCTAGAAGAATCACATATTTTCTCAGCTAATTACTAAAGAGGATAGTTATTAGGTATCATTATCATCTTTCATTTCAATAGGGAAAAAAAATACCTGTACTAACAGAAACCTGTCTACAAATATCTGTAAGTATGGACTCATCTTGTAAAATAAACAAGATAATTACCATTGAAGAATAAAGACAGCAGAAATCAACATTCCCACAAAACAGATGACAGTTTGGAGTCACTAAAATTACCCCCTTTAAAAGATATAAAATGAGTCCAATGATTTTCATGCTGCTTAGGAAACTGAATGACAGTTCAGAAGATGTTTTCACTAACATGGAATTTCAGACGTTATTTTTTACAGCAGTGCAGTTGTTTCCTTTTACTCATATAAATATTTTAAACAAATGAAAAGATTCCATGGGTGAATTCAACTGCTTACCTTTGAGCCTCGCTCATTAAAAATAATTTCAACATCTAAGATTTTACCAAATTGCTGCAAAGAAATAGAAAAGTTACATGAAAATAACTTCAACACTTCTATCATATACAGTACAAATGTTTGTTTCAGAAAATGGTGCATCACATAAAGACGTTGAAAAATATAAAATCAAAGATAGTCAAGCACCAAAAAAGACACACTGAAGAGGAGCCAGATCAGTATTACAACTAAATCATATGTATCATTACACTTGTCACTATCATTCCACACACGCATTTATGAACTTAAAGTTCAGTGCAATCACCTGACAAAGAGGAAATAATCATTAAACTGCGATCACAGTGAAGTGAAAGTCCAAAATTTCTTTTTTTTATTTTGTCTTTGCGTATAGTAGGTTACTTCCTTGTGATCCACCCAGTCCAGCTGCTATCACCCTTTTTTTCATATGTAATATACTACTGGTTAATTTGCTTGGAGCGTAATAAACATCACTAACAAGACAGGATTAACAGCTATGTGAACATTGTCGCCCTCTGGTCATCCTTCCCTCTGAAGAACTTTTGTTTCAGAGGACTTTTTGCAGCTCCTTTTCAGGACAGGTAAAGGAGTTTGGTTGCTTCTGCTTTACAGAAATAAGATTAAATGAGCTGGGAGTTTTGTCACTGGCCTCAGGGAGTGAAGATTTCTCTCCACCCTTGCTGAAAACGGATAACCATTACTCTTTAAGTAATTCTTGTCTTACTAGAGTATAATTTGGAAAACTAGAATGGTTACTTACTTGTTGGGGATTTTTCCCTGCTCAGAATTGCACTTTTATTATAACATTAGTAGTAACTGTTACCACTATTGACCTTACAGTAGGACTCGCAATCAATCTAGGCATTGCTCACACACACAAAACTTCACCACAGCTGCTACCCCAAAGAAAAAGGCTCTATTGGACTTGCCTTAGTAAGAGAATGAATGTTTGACTCAGGCACTGTTTAGTTAAAACACTTTCTGATATGACACATTTTGTGATGTGACATTGTAATGTATCAGTAGGTGATTTCTGTTATTTCATATATCGTTAACATGCAGCACAGATGAGTGTTAACACTGATAAGTGACACAATATATTAAACAAAAAGGCAGAAATTAAAGGCAGGCAACTGAAGAGTAATCTAACGATAGTCCAAGGAATTGCAGAAATGAGCCTGTACTTCAGTACTTTAATATATAATAAAAAATTACAGGCCAGAAAGAACAGTATTCCTTCTCTAGCTTATCCAAGTGTTTCAACTTGGTTATGAAAATCAACCATCACTTGTTATTCCTTGGCTTATTTTATGTTCTTGCGTTCACCCCCTAATTAATGCTGTAACTGCAACTTTAGCCTATAAGCAGACATTGACTTAGTGTTTAAACAGTCCCCCTCTGCTGTATTTATGTCCATGTAAAAAGATCATCTGGTATGTGTATAATGTGGTCATGATGCAGCATGACCATATTTCAGATCAGATAATTCAACTCACACTTGCAGAAATTGCATTTTTCTATCCATTCAGAAGCTAAAAGTTTACTGTTACCAAGTCATTCTAAAGCTGGAAAACTCTAGCCATTCTCCAGTGCTAGTCTTTTGAGACCTAAGACTTGGAGATATTGAAAAGAAATGTAGCTTTTATTCACTTATAAATTACTACAATCTCTCAAAATAAAAGATCCTTTCATTTAATGTACTTTGAAATAAAATCTATCTATTTAAAGTGATTTGTTTAATTTAAATAAATTTGCATATTGATCCCTAGAGGGTTAATTATTAAGCCTTCTGTTATTTTCCTGATGTGCTGTAAGCTGCATTTAGGGGAGGTCACTTGTAGCAAGTCAGATACAGCAAAACAGTCACTCTCATTTCCCAGTACTATACCAGGGTTCTTTTTCCAGTGACCGTTTCCTTCACTTCATACAAATAAATGCCAAAAAACACAATGTCTTAACTCACATACAAAGACATTAGAAGAACTTAAAAATTTGAACTGAACATGAAAAATGGAGAGAGGTATAGCGCCATGAAGTACTTGATGCTGCACTCTATAACAAACTGTAACGCCGAAGAGAACTAAGTTTTAGTGAGTCAGAGATAAGAAAGCAAGAGGAACACAAATACTTAAGGGTACTAACTTGGAAAAGGAAAAGCTGGTTTCTAATAGCTGATCAAGTACTATTTCTAGATTTTATTTAGTGACATTTCAAAATAAACCTAAGAGTTCTTGGAGCAGGGAGAAGGAACCAGGTCTAACCTCTCATGGTTGTGAGCCTATAATTGACGGCACATATAAGATGTGTGAAACAGTCAATGCACATGAAGGTAGCTAGTGGCCCGGGCAAAAGCAAAAATTGAGACTTACAGAAAAATACTGGCAAAGACTTTAGAATCTTACAGACCTACAATACCTGCGGGGACAGGATTCCTATTCCGGGACTTTCTGCTCAAATTCAGCCCATGTCTTACTTCTATAGATTTGGGTCCCTTGCTCATGAGGTCAGGCATTGACTATTTTACGTCATGGTCTCCAAAATGAATATATATGTATTCGATATTTTAAGCCAATATAGGCAGCTTTTTTTGAATGTAATACAAAACAGCACAATACATAGAATACATTCATCTGTATCACATACATTAGAATCAGTAGAATTTCTTTTCCCAGTTGTGACTGGCAAATCAGATGTTTGGTTATAAATAAAAGAAAAGACAACCTTTACTGAAAATGGTTAAACAGCCTAAATCAGAGATACTGCTCTCATGGTTGCCTATAATATATCTATTGCATTGCAAATATAAAAAAGCATAAATAAAGTGTGAGTACTTACACCAAACATTTGTCTAAGATCTGGATCCCGGAATCTGAATGGTATATTTGAGACGTGAAGCCGTTTTGGCTGTGATTTGTTTTCTGTGTTTTCAGAAGATTGTGTCTGTTGCTGGCCATCGGTCTGTGCTGCATCATCTGTCTGCTAAAAGGGTAAAGTAAAACAAAGTAAAGCACACTGTATGTATTTCTGCCATTTTTAATATAAGGTGGTGGCCTTAAATTCTTAAACAAAAAACAAACAAACAAACAAAAGATTAAAAAGGAGTTAAATCTGCTCAGACAAAGATACTGAAGAATACCAGAAGCTGAAATACATGAACATCAAATCCGTTTCTGTATCTGTCTCAACAGTATACGTTTTCAATGATATTTTTGATACGTATTTGGAATAAACTGGAGAATAGGAAAGAGATTATTCTTTGTTGATTTTCTTAGCTATTTATAAATAATGAATAAATATGTCTCCCTATATTATAAGACTGTTGAAACCCCTTTAACCTCATCAGTGTTTGCCAATGGAAGAAACTGAATCTCCATGTCCAAGTAACAGCCTACTTGCAGAAGCAAGCTATACACTTTCAAATAAGATCAGTACTTTCACTGAGAGGCCACTGGGACTTCTACACAGGAGGTAGGTAACACATCACATCCTAGTTGCCATTTCATAAGCAGTGCTAATGGGCACTAGAGGGTCATTTTGTCTAGATAAATGGTCACCATTATGGAAAAGGCCTTGAGTTGTGAAAGGGAACAGAAGTATAATCAGTGGTAAAGGTTGCCTGACATAAAAGCAAGACCCGGAAATAAAAGTTTTACAGATATTCTTTCCCACCAAAATAAGATCATGTCATGGCACTTCTTACAGGGATACTGTTCCCTAGTTTTAAAATGCTATTTTATAATTGAGGGACATTGGTGTGTATTACAATTTAACAAATGAACAGAATTATAAACCCCTAGAGAGATTAAGAAAAAACATAACATCCTTCTTCCAAAAAGGAAAACTAACCATTGCTGCCCGATCAGTATATTATAGAAATCTCTGGGCTGTGTTCTTTAATGATATCATACAGTGCCTAATTAATCACTGCGTGTACAGCACACGTTAACTAGAAAGAGATTTTGCATAGGTATGTAAAAACAGCACAGTTGATTTCTTTTGCACTGGTAGAGGGGATTTGGGAAAAAAAAAAAAAAAGAGGAAAGAAAATAGTTGAATGAAAGTACAAGGATCATCTTACAACTGTTACTCTATTTTCTCTGTCCTTCCTCTTCCTTCTGAGCATATTCATCTTCCAAGTATACATTTTTCTCTTGTGTTCTAATGTTACAGTACAGCTTGCCTTTTCTTTTTTTTTTTAAATGAAAAAAGTCAGAATCTCCCATTTCCTGCTAATATCAAATTTCTTTTAAGAGACAACAGTTTTAAGCAAAATAAAAATGGTTAAATAAAATAAACGTTACCACACAGTTTTAGTACCAATAAGCCTGTTAAGGAGGAAGGAAAAGAACTCAAACAGAATACATAATTTACATCAGCAATAACTACATATAAATTTAATTCTAGCAAGTTAAATGCAACATCATCTTCCCCAGTAAATGCAAATGTTCTCAAATTCAAAATACAAACATCTACAATTTCCTGTATTGGCTATACTTCTGTGCTAAGAACACTTTACAAATAGAGGTCCTTATTATTTCTGCAGAAGCATCAGTTCCTCAGCAGTGTCTACATTTCATGGGACTCGATGATACTCGTACACAAATACAAACTTTTGTGTGCACTAAAGAAGGATTTTCAAGTGATGCAAACAAGGAACTGGGAACAGCTCAAGTGTAAACCTAAAACTGAGTCAGTGCCACTACATCTCTTCATCTGCCACCCCCTGAGCTCACAGGCAGGGTCCCACAAACTGGACAGTTCATCTTTACAGATTTCTAGTGATTTAAATACTAAACATGGTATATAGCTGTTAAGAGACAAAAACATGCTCTAAGCTAATCTCTTGCTATCTAAAACCAACTGAAAATTTCAAAATTTAGATTTTAGACAACTGCTCCGTCCATAAACACCACAGAGATTACTTTCTACATTCAGGCCTTAAAATGAGAAAAACATGAAGGAAATTTGGTGTATGAGAGCAGGTGGGGGATGAGGGACTGGAAACTCTTGAAATACAACACTCTGGAAGAATTTAAGGTCAATTAGATTAATCTGAAGAGAATTAAAGAATTCTGAAGGTGCTTGTTCAGCTTCAGGAACAAAGGCTGCCCCAGGAAAAAATTACATAATCAGCATACTGTATCAATGCAAATTGGAAAAAGTAATTTCTGTTCATTGTATTAATATAAATTATGAGAAACAAGGAGTAGGAGGGTGGAACTGTGCACTATTAGCATACAAAAACATTAGGAGCAACTTCCGTACCAAGAAGCTGAATAGACGTATTGCCAACCAAAAGCCAGTGAGGTTTCTGAAGATGATGCTAAAATGAAGGAGCTACAAGTTACAGGTGAAGTAGGTAAATCCAGGTACTGTTATTTTCTGGGTATTTCTTTTTTATTTTACCACTTCTGTTCACAGAAGCCTGAAATTTACAGTTCCAGCACAGAATGTCTCAGAGATTGGGCAGTGAGGACTGAAAACCCGAAACTTCAGAAAGTCACCATCATCAAAGATTCATACCTGTAAATGCCCTTAAAGAAGTCTGTGGCAGAATTAACAGAGCTAAATCATTTAAAATTTATCAAAAGGCTTGACAATATAACAGTGTCTTTACAAAGCATATTATCATCCAGAAATCTACAGATGAGCCTAGGAGATCTGGAGAAGGATAACAGCAAATTGAAATTGGAATGTGAAGATTATACAAAAATTTCCAAGTAACACCAAGGAGGTAAAATACACAGAGGACAGGCTGGATTTTGCAAATTCCCAGAAAGGAAAGTTTCAAAGCCCTGTGGACTCAAAGAGCTAGAATACAATTTACCTTACACATAAATAATACATTTCAAGAGAATATTTTCATTGCTAGAGGATCTAAAGACTGGTGTTTGATATTTCTTTAAAAATTAATTGAAGTTGGCATATGACATTAGCCTCACTACATCCCTGCAGTCTAATACGCAATCAGTACAAGTCCTGATCTATTATGGGTTTGGTCTCTTTCAACACCCTCTCCTGACTCAATCAAGCAAATTAGTATGCTTTATGCAAAACAAAGAAATAAATAACCCCCCCTAAGCCTCATCGTTAAACAGAAATTACATAAAAGGGAATATAGTCTGGGGTTTTTTTCACGTATGACCTAATTTTCTGAGTACAAAGCTGTATGAGAGTTACCGTCACGTATCATAGAGTCATGAATTTAACTTTGTGAAGAGATCACAATTCATAAACCAACTATTCAGCACATTTTACCATTGGAACTATCTGCTGTCTGGTGGTACTTGCTTTTCCTTGTGTGTGTATTGGGTTTTTTTTCCTATGGAAGATGGCAATGTAAATTCATACACAACTTCTAATCCATTATAATCTTGTTTACAGAACTGCTCTCTAACCAGTGATTTTCCATGCTGTATCTGTGCAGTTTGTTATTGCTGTGTAAACACCTTGCATTGATGTTTTTGAATAGCATCTTATTTTTCTAGACGATACCTGCAATTTATCAAGATTATTTTGAATTCTAATCCTGTCCTGCAATGTACTTGCAGTCCTTCCCAGCTTGGTATTGTTGCAAATTTAATAAGCATACACTCTATTCCATCATTCAGATCATTAATGAAAATACTGGAAAACACTGAGTCACCACAAATCCCTGCAGAACTCCTTTTAATAAATCTTCTCATTTTGACAGTGAGCTACTTTTTAAACACAGTTTCTAGTTTTCCACCCAGCCTATTGTAGTTGCATGTTTACCATATTTCCTTGCTTAAAAGCATGTCTTGTGTGAAAGCCTCAAAGCCTTATGAAAAGTGAAATATAACATTCAAGGATTTTCCTTTGTTCACAAGGCCACTGGAGAAGTAAAAAACTGTATCTTTTTGACAAATCCATGCTGATGGCTATTCTTCTTGTACTTTCAGGTGTTAAAAAGGCAGTGTGCATTTACTTGTTCCAGTATTTTCCCAGGACTGAAACACTGACGACAGCACATCCCTTTAGCCTATGTAACCAACACCTCTCTCTACCTCCTTTTTAAAAACCAGCATTATGTCTACTCTACTCCAGTTCTCCAGTACCTCTACTCATTCTCCACAAGGTAACAGAGACAGACACTAACGGCTCCAAAATATTACCAGTTTAATCTTTAAATACCTTGGAACAGAGCTAATTAGAAACAGTTTACTGAAAAAAAAACCACACCGCACCTAACTTACCTGAATATTCTTTAATTGGTTTTTTCCCTCTTTGAAACTGAAAACTTTTTCTGACAGTTGGGAAATTACTGTAATAATCACCCAGCTGAGGCTGACTTCTACAGTGAGGAATCATGCACAGAAGAAATATTCTCTTACCCTTCTTCCCAAGACTGCATTTCATATTCACTCTCAAAGATTCCCTCCATCCTGGCTCAAATCCCTTCTAGAAGAACCTCTCTCCTGGTTGCCTTTTGTACATTCAGTCACAGAACTTGTCACCAGCACATTCCAACAGCAATCTCAACTGACAGTCTGGCTGCAGAAAGCATCAAATCACCTGAAATCCCTATTATTCATGACTTTTAGTGCTGTACCTCCGGTTGCCTACTAAAGATGTCATCCACTGAATCTTACCAGCTGGATGTCTATGATAATTTTCAGAATGAAGAGGTCTTTTTTCCTCTCGTAGTTATCCAGAGGCCTTTAAGTGCGTCTCTTCTACAGTTATGACCTTGGATAAGGCACCCCCTTAAATTACAAGGGAACAGTTCCTTTCTTGTCTGCTCTTCCTAATCAAGATTTACAACTTTATTTTCAACAGCATATAGTTTTTGCAGGTATGAATTTTCAACACAATTCTGATTTTTTTTTTTTTAATGGCACTTTATGCCCTTCTATTGTGACATAATTGGTCACAACAGCATCATGTGAGTACAATGTGGTCCAGCATGGTCACAACGTACACAGCAGGTGTGGACACAGCTGGTACAATGTTTATTA